TTATGTTCTTATGTTTCTGACCTAAGTTTCTCACTCGAAAACCAAATGCTTAATCCAATTATGTTATGGTCACTATCCCTGAGAGGATCTTTTATTTTGAGATCAATTTATTAAACCTGCCTCATTACAGAATGCCAGATCCAAAATAGCCTGATCACTGGTGGGATCCACAACATATTGTTCTCGGAAACTGTACTGGATATACTCTCTGAACTCTACCTCATGGCTACCTCTGCCAATTTGATTTTCCCAATCTGTATGAACATTAAAGTCACCCATAATTAATGTACTGTGTTTCAAATATGCCTTCATTATTTCCTGATTTATTCTGTTCTAAGTGCTGCTACAGTTAAGGGGCCTATAGACTATACACGTGTTTTTTTCCCCTTGTTATTTTTTATCTCCACCGACACAGATTTGATATCTTCCACTCCATGATCATTTCTTGCTGTAACACTTCTACAATCTCTTGTGTACAAAGATGCCCCATCACATCTTCCTTCCTGACCTTTTGAAAATCACATATCCCCGAATATTTAGTTCCCAGCTTCTATCTCCATGTAACCATGACGTACCCATTAACTTCTGTTTGGGCTGTTAATTCATTCATGTTGTTCCATATACTACGTGCATTTAAGTAAAGAGCCACGCATTTATCTTTCTGCCATTTTCCCCCTTAGACCCAATTTGCTACATAAAAATATAAACATGCTTGCACACTCTGTCCATTCCTGTCCCACTCTGGATATCATTATGAAAATAACTGCACTGAAAGGTCACTATATTCTTTTGCTTTGTGAGGCTATGATTTCCATCTCCCGAACCCTCTCTATTTCATTTAAAACCGTCTCTACAGTCCTATTTATTTAATTTGCCAGGACAATGGTTGCAGCAAAATTCAAGTGAAGCCCAACCCAACAGGACAGCTCCCTACTACCCCAGCAGTGATGCCAATGCCCCACAAACTGAACCACATTCCATCCACACCAATCTGTGAGCCATGCATTCAACTCCTTGACTTTATTTACCTGATGCTAGTTTGCCAGTGGCCCAGGTCGTAATCTTGAGATTATTCCCTTGGAAGTTCTGCTTTTTAGTTTAACAACTAACTGTTCAAAATCTTTTCCATTTTATTAATGTCATTTGTGTCAAAATTGACAGCAACAAGTGGATCCCTCCCCTCTATCTCCAGGGTCCCATCCAACCACAGGAGATATACTTAACCCTGGAACCAGGCATGCAGCACTGCCTTTGGGACACATGTTCACAGGGAGCCCAATCACCAGTAAATTGTTTTTAAACATTTAGGAGATGTGGGCCTCACTGGCTAGCCCAATATTTATTCCATTCCCACCTGCCCTTGAGAAGTTGGTGATGAGCTGTCTTTTTGAACTACTGCACAGTGGCTCAGTGGCTGGTACTGCTGCCTCACAGCACCAGGGACATGGGTTTGACTCCACCTTCAAGAAACTGTCTGTGTGGAGTTTGCATGTTCTTCTCATGTCTGCTTGGGTTTCCTCCAGTTTCCTCCCCCCAGTCCAAAGGTGTGCAGCTTCGGTGGATTGGCCAGGCTAAATTGTCCATAGTGTCCAGGGACATGCAGGCCAGTTGGATTTGGAAATATGTATTGGTTTTAAAAGGCAACATTAGTTACTTCAGCTGGGAATTAATTCCATACACACTGAATATAAAGCTTTGCTTGGGGTACTGTGGATTTTATTTTGCTATCCTTTAGATCTGCTATTACAGTGGGGTGGAGGGGTGTCTGGGTAGTATGCTCTTTGGAGGGTTGGTGTGGACTCGATGGGCTGAATGGCCTACTTCAACACTGTAGAGATTCTATGATTCTATGCTGCAGTCCATTTGGTTCATACACATACACAATGCAGTTAGGAAGGGAGTTTCATTACTTTGACTGAGCGACAGTGAAAGAATGGTGATATATTGCCAAGTCAAGATTGTGAGTGACTTGCAGAGGAGCCTGCAAATATTTCAGCCTTATCTTTTGCATTGATGTGCTGGGCCCCAATCATTGAGAATGGGGATGTTTGTAGACTCTCCTCCCTTCAGTGACTTGGTTAATTGTCCATCATTATTCACAACCAATGTAATGAGAAGTAATTGGAAAATCTCTAATTTGAATACATTTAGAAGTTAAATTGTATTAAAAATATAAAGTATGAATGAAGAATATGATTTTGCTTAGAGTGTGTTGCAAGTGAGTGACAGATTAAATAGTTAGGAAAATGACAAACTATGCAGGTGAAGTATGAGCAGTTGATCATCTCAATGTTTTGATGTCTGTAGGCTTGGCACATTTAAACCAGTTTGATTCAGCTGCAAGTGGCATTTGTCAAGAAGAGTTTATTTGATTTCACTTTGTCACCTATTTTCCACTCCTGGCAAATATCATGTGTAAAATGGATGAGTATTTATGATCAAATGATTTGAACTGAAGTCTTAATAAGCATCATTTTACTCCGTTGTACAATGAACTAGTTTATCTAGTCTAACCAATAACAAAATGGTGAGAATTAAATGACATGGGCATGGGTGTGTCTCTGTGTGTGTATGTGTGAGTGTGTGTGTCTCACTCCCATACCTACAATATTTGACACACTCAATTTGAATATGCTGCCAGGTTCTAGTAGCACTATTTTTGGGGGAGGTTCATAGATGAAGAAATTACCGCAAATCCAAATTTTCAGTTGTTACAACTTAGGGAATGAATATGATATATTTTAGCAAGGTGAAAAATACCAGCAATAATTATTGCCTGCCATCTTGTAGTTTAAGGTGGCCTTTAGGAATTGTCCTCACACTTTCTCAAATATATCTCAATGAAAAAGTGGCTCTAAACATTGCAAATAATAAAGAACAATAACACCAATGAGTATTTAGTTACACCGTCTTGAATTGGAAAGAAAGTACACAAAATGGTTATGAAACAGTGGTGGTTTGAATTTGCAATAATTTTTATGTAGAAGCTAAAAAAATGCTATGATCAAACAAACTGCAAGTTCAACAGGAAATTCCAGCTGGTTCAGTTTATTAGCATGAAATACAAAATGATTCAAGTGCTGAAACTACTGTTTCCATTTTGAGTTTTATTTTTGTTTCCCTGTATTATAATTCATGAGATTGTTACTGATATGTAATAAACAGCACATGTGACAATATATGTTCCACTACAATCGCAGTACTGAAAGGTTTTCAGTCTGATTTTGCCTTGTGCTCTATTTAACCATGGTGAAGTAAAATACTGTGCCGATGCAAAAATCATCATATATAGTTTCCACCCAAGGTTAAGTCAAGGCCAGCAACATATTTGAGGGAAACAATGAACTGCTTTGGTACAGTTACTTATAAATAATTATCATTTTTCAGAGTCTCTGGTGCAGTGCAGTACCCAACATAAAAAATGCAGGCTGTAACTTGAATAGCTAGGTTTCAAGCAGAGCAAAAACCTGAGCTTGGGCTTCTTCGAAGTGCTGATGGCCCCAAGCAAAGGTGACAGTTCCCCTGTGGGCCCTAATGATTACAAATCATCTGCTGCGACAGAATGCTTGCCCTACTCATTTGCTTTTGCGTGCTTCTGCACAGCATTTTCCATTACCTCTCTGCTCTATTGCTTCACACCAGTGAAAAACATTTCAAGTCAAATTCCAGAGCAGCTTAAACCACCGCCACCCCCCGCCCCTCTACATACGTACATAGGTATTCACAAAAATGTATTTTCTGACATTTTAACGTGAACTAAAATGATAAAAAGACAAATGGCGGAGGGTTAGTATACAGGAGGCAGAGTGGTTGGGGTCTGACAGCAAGTTTATTTCTTTCTGCATGTTAATTGCACAGATGTGTAAAGCCATGTGAGAAGTGATTCCCCAAAACTGAAATGTGAATCGAGGTGCAGCCAACCGCTATTTCGGCATAACCTGAAGCTGTTTGGAAGAGAGAAAAAAATTGATTTGAAAGTGGCAGTATAAATCAAAACATAAGAATAATCAAGCACAAGGCAGGCATGACACTTGATGGGGCGGATGAAATCAGTTTTGAGTTTCATTCATCCTCTCTTCAGTTGGGGGTTTGGCAACGACTCAGTGCATATGACTGAGACCAGTTTTAAAACTTCCAAATAAAAACCGAAAGAACAGCGGATGCTGTAAATCAGGAACAAAAACAAAAGTTGCTGGAAAAGCTCAGCAGACCTGGCAGCATCTGTGCAGAGAAATCGGAGTTAACCTTTCGGGTCTGGTGACCCTTCCTCAGAATGGTTCTACTCCAGTTCTGCGGAAGGGTGACTGGACCCAAAACGTTAACTCTGGTTTCTCTTCACAGATGCTTTAAATATTTTTTCTGTGTTTTTACACGTCTGTGTTTTTAAGAAAGAGGAAAAGGGAATATAATTAGTTGGACAGTTGCAAATCACCTTGAAATTTCCGATCAGCAGTTTTATGATAATTTGCAAACCCGACAAATTTAATGGACTGGGTGCAAAAAACAAAAAAAAATCCACCTAATAAACACTTTGACCTCCACAGTACAAGGAATTGATCTTCTTTCGCTTTTAATGTGAAACCAATTCACTAATGAGCTGACATCACAACTTGTTTCCTACTTTAAAAATATTCTGAGTGTAGTTCATATTTAGAAAACATCAATAGACGTTAACGTTGTAGCAAATGGGGTCGGAAAAGTTGCCTGCCATCCATCACCACTGACAATTTACCTGATACCTCTTCCCAGGCGCTAATGTGAGTATTGCATCAGTTTGGAGTGGGTTCCAACTCCCCCTTCAATCACACCACACCACACGGGCCAAAACTCTGTGTAATTTTACATCCCAGTTATGAATGAGAGACCGTCAGTGTCAAGATGAGACGCTGTCGTTTGTACGTCCGCACTGTCTGGAGATTCGGTCTGCTAACTTTGCTGATGGCTGTGCATATTGCACACATGAGCATTGAGAGAGGGAGAGGGGATGAGTTGGTGAGTGCACAGTCCGCCAGCAGAGGACGCTGTGCCCTCCTCCTGCCCTGAGTGAATGGATGGGTGACGTCAGGGCTGGCCGGGGGCTGCTCTCGCTGTTACAAAGTATTGATGTGGAGGGGAATGTATCGGTTGGGCTCAGGGAGCACCGAGCTGGAGTGAGGAGGCAGAGACAGAGCTATAAAAAAAAATAACCAAAAACAAAATCTGCAGAAGTACGACTGGAACATTATGAATGCAGTGCCCTTTGTGCTTTTGCTGTTGTTGTATGAAACTTGTGGCAGTGCCGCTGTGGAATTCTCTTCGGGTGAGTCTCACTGTTCTGGGGAGTAGCAACTTTTTTTTACACCCGGATCCTCCTCCTCAAGGTGTATAAGTGTGTGTGTGTGTGTGTCCCTCCGGGCCCCTGGCTGTTGACGGCTAGAATCCTGTTTCTAATTGGACTCGGAAACAACAAGCAAAAGCTATGAATTCACCAACTAATGAGAATATATTTGTTAGTTTTGTTCTTTGGGAAGGGGTGAGGTTTGCTCAGCTGTGGTGGTTTGTTGAGGGAGCCGGTGAGAGCCAGGGCAACGCGGCTTGTTGAATGTGAGCAGTTAGTTGATCAGTGCGTCGGCGAGGTCGGCGGCTGAGCTTCGAAGTTTGTTTTAAAATTCTCTTTCGTGTCAGGCAGAATGAAGGAACACTTTTTGTTGTTGTTTGAGTGCTGATTTATTGCCGTATTCTTCTGTTTTTAGTGGAAATGTGGGGAAATGGGGAGGCTGTGTAAGGTTAGCCAGTTGGTGTAAGGTGAAGTGGCTTTGACTCCGGGTTTTAAATCGAGCGGGTACGTCGTTACAAACGGCCACAAAGTCCTATTCCCCCTTTTTGTTATTGTGTCTGTAGGTATTTGTCTTGTCTTGCTCCCCATTGCAGGATATACGCAGAGATAAATATTTTTGTATTCGTCTAATATTCAGCCCACTTTTTAAGGAATAACATTTACACCTAAACAGGACATAAAGCAACTGGTTACTTTTCGAATCCAGTTGTAATTAATCCAGCTTTAATTTAGCCGACCTCACTCCTTTGGTAAAATAAGTTTGCAATGAAAAGCGAGGGGGAAGGTGGCGTGTCTCAGGACAATAGGTATGTCCTAGTGGTATGCAATTTAAAATGGAGTACCTTAGTAATGAAAAAGTACGAGCAAACACTCATTGATTTCCTGGTAATTTTACACCCAGGGAAAGTTGCTGTCTTTCTGTTCAACAACAGTACAGTGCTTTCATTGTAATTCTTTAGTTAGTGTGAAAGGCATATCCTTTCCTCCTGGTTCACAGACAATAAAATCCAAACTTGTTGTTGCTTGAATGCGGCACCTAACAATTAGTATCCTAGTAAAGGGAGGGTGGAGAAACTAGATGGAAGGAGTGGGAGGTGAGACGAACCATGTTTCAAGTATTCTTGAATTTATTTTTGCAATTCCCAGAGTGATGGTTAAAATCACTCCTTCCTGCAACTGAGTGGGTTAATTAACATTACAGTATGTGTAATGCAATTTATTCTTTCCTCAAAGCCTATTGCTCAGAGGAGTGTTAGATGCCCCACCAAAAAAAACTCTTAACAATTACTGCAAAATCAGTCTCAAACCTGTTTTGCAATGTGAAACTGAAGACTTTCTCCATACTGATCCAGGACTTGGCCAAATAACTGGCAAACCTGTAATATATTGCAATTCTATACAGTGAACATTCCAGTTTGTTCAGTGATGTATTGTCATTTGGAATGTTGTCAGATCATAAAAAACTCAACAATTCTTGTGCATGATTTCAATTGCAGGCACATTTAGGCCACAATATTCTCAAAAAACACAGGTTATGAGGGCGGAGAGTTGAATGTTCAGCACAATTTAAAAACGCATGCCATTTTTAAGTACAGTATCAATACAGGAATGAAGACTTCTTGATGTGTGTCTCCTAAATGATAAGCAATGCAATCTATTATAATCTCAGATACTCAAATTGATATTGGAGGCACAAAGTTTTATCAAGATGGAATAATTTAGTGGCTATTGAACGTGAATACTGTACTCTGCGAGTCCAAAAATTATTTTGTTTGTTAGAGTGCAGGATTATTTGTGAATGGTTGCACAATGCAGCAAATATGGCAAGTCTGATCATCAAGTTGCAACATGTGTTTTGTTAACAATGAGTGAAATAAGTAAATACTTTAGTTGCATTAGAAAAGATAAACATCATGCAGAAGAATTTTTTTCCATTGTGTTACCCTGTGTCAGCAGCTTTTGGGAGATATCAGTTCTTTTCTTTTGCTCTCTATAATGGCACTTCACTGTATGCATGAAGGAGGAACAGTAGGCTGTTTAGCCCATCGAGCCTGTTGATAATATCACGGCTGATCAGATTTTGACCCCAACTCTTAGTTAATTGACCCTATAACATGTGATTCCTTCGTCATAGAGTTGTACAGCACGGAAACAGACCCTTTGGTCCAACTCGTCCTTTCCAAACAAATGTCCTTAAGTTAATCTAGTCCCATTTGCCAATAATTGGCCGACAACCCTCTAAACCCTTCCTATTCATGTACCCATCTGGATGCCTTGAAGTGTGCGAGCCTCCTCCACTTCCTCTGACAGCTTATTCCACGCACGCACCACTCTCTTCATGAAAACATTGCCCCTTGGGTCCTTTTTAAATCTTTCCCCTCTCACCTTAAACCTATGTCCTGTAGTTTTGGACTCCCTTACCCTGGGAAAAAGACCTTGGCTATTTACCCTATCTATGCCACTCACGATTTTACAAGGCCACTCCTCCTCCTTCGATGCTTAAGGGAAAATAGCACCAACCCATTCAGCCTCTCATTATTGCGCAATCCCCCAAACCCTGGCAACATTCTTGTGAATCTTTTCTGTACCCTTTCAAGTTTAACAACATATTTCCTATAGCAGGGAGGCCAGAATTGAAGTGGGGTTAGGCCTCCCTAACCTGTCCTTCCTCCCACCTATCCCCTCCTCCCACCCCCATCTCCTGCCTACTAACCTCATCCCACCCCCTTGACCTGTCCGTCCTCCCTGGACTGAGCTATCTCCTCCCTACTTCCCCACCTACACTCACCTTTACTGGCTCCATCCCCGCCTCTTTGATCTGTCTGTCTCCTCTCCACCTATCTTCTCCTCTATCCATCTTCTATCCGCCTCCCCCTCTCTCCCTATTTATTTCAGAACCCCCTTCCCCTCCCCCATTTCTGAAGAAGGGTCTAGGCCCGAAACGTCAGCCTTCCTGCTCCTCTGATGCTGCTTGGCCTGCTGTGTTCATCCAGCTCTACACCTAGGCCAGAATTGAACGCAGTATTCCAGAAGTGGCCTAGCCAATGTCCTGTACAACCGTAACATGACATCCCAATTTATATTCTCAAAGCACTGACCAATAAAGCCAAGTGTACAAAATGTCTTCTTCACTACCCAGTCCACCTGCGACTCTGCTTTCAAGGAACTGTGAATCTGCAGCCTAAGGTCTCTTTGTTCGGCAACACTTCCCAGGACACATTAAGTGTATAAATCCTGTGCTGATTTGCCCTACCAGAATGCAGCACCTCACATTTATCTAAATTAAACTCCATCTGCCACTCCTTGGCTCATCTAATCTGTTGAGAATCTGTCTAACTCAGCATTAAAAATATTCAATGACCATGCCTTCACCGCTTGCTAGGGAAGAGAATGCCTCCAACTACTCTGCAACAAAGAATTATGTCTCCTTATCTTTGTTTTGAATGGAAGACCCCGAATTGTTGAACCCTATCTCCTTGTTATAGCCGGTTTCCTGAGGGGCAGCATTCCCCATATTCACCCTACCAAGTTTCTTACGTAACAATAAGATTACCCCTCAATGTTCTAAACTCCAATGGGTACAGGTCCGACCTATTCAAACTTTGTCCATAAGATAACTCCTTCATTCTGGGAATGCTGTGCATCGCTAATAAATGCTTTGGGTAGCACACTGTTTGCAGAGTCCTTTTGATTCAGGAGAGTTCTTTGATATTTCAGAATTATAGTCCTCGATTCAAAATGTCTGTTTCATTTTGGGTTCAATTTTTGAGATTGGATGCTACCTTCTGTTCCGTATATTGGTTTCTTGGCTGCTTTTGGCAGTAGGATTATGCTGAAGAAATGTGTATCTGTTTATGCATACATGTGTGTGGTGAGACACTGGCCAAGGGATGGAGAGGTAAGATGGCAGATGTTATGTGTATTTGAGTAAAGCCCAAGCCCAACTTGTATAAAAGCTTTGCCACGTCTAATTAATGACTCAAACTGAGTACTTGTCTTTAAGATGTAAGTCCTGGAAGATTTGAATATGGCATGTCAAACATACCAATGGCCAGAACAATTAGCATCAAAATCTGTTATTTGGAACACTGAAGTGGACTGAAAATATTGCAGCAGACCTAGGGGACCATAAGCACTTTTTAAATACATGCAGTTACAATTGACTGAGGCAATAAATGATTGTGCCCAAGGAGTCCAAAATAAATTGTAAGTTTCATCCAGCATCTCTGCTCAGTAAGTTGATTTAAGGAAAATGACTTGGTCATCGAAATGAACAGCATGGAAACTGACCCTTCAGCCCAACTCATCCATGCCGACCAGATATGCTAAATTAATCTAGTCCCATTTGCCAGCATTTGGCCCATGTACCTCCAAACACTTCCTATTCATATACCCACCCAGATGCCTTCAAATGTTGTAATTGTACCAGCCTCCACTACTTCCTCTGGTGGTTCATTCCATACATGCACCACCCTCTGCGTGAAAATGTTGCCTTTTAAATCTTTCCTCTCTCACCTTAAACCTGTGCCCTCTCGTTCTGGACTCCCCTACCCTGTGGTAAAGGCCCTGGCTATTCACCCTATCAATGCCCCTCATGATTTTATAAACCTCTATAAGATCACCCCTCGGCCTCCAATGCTCAGGGAAAGTTGTCCCAGCCTATTTAGCCTCTCCCTGTAGTTCAAATCCTACAACACTGGTAACATCCTTGTACATCTTTTCTGAACCCTTTCAAGTTTCACATTATCCTTACTATAGCAGGGAGACCAGAATTGAAAGCAGTATTCCAAAGTTAGCCCAACCAATGTCTTGTACAGCTGCCACATGACCTTCCAACTCCTACACTCAATGCACTGACCAATACAGGCAAGTCTATTAAACACCGCCATCACTACCCTGTCTACCTGTGAAGAAACGAAGAAACTATGAACCGGGACCTCAATGTCTGTCTGTTCAGCAACACTCCCCAGGGCCTTACCATT